AAAATTTTCGTTAGAAAATCTTTTTTGTGTTAACCCGACGCTCCATTTCAATGAAACTAAAATCGACAGAAATCAAGAAATAGCAGAAGAGCGGAAAGTTACCTATCGAAGAGAACAATGGAAACGATTTTCATTTTTCATATAAAAATTTGCGTAAGAAGAACGCCATAACTTACCGGCCAACCCAATGCATTCCTTACCGCGTGATCATGATACGAATCTCCTACCTACATAACTACTCTTCCCTTAATGAAGCAGGCTGGGAACCTGTTTTAAGACACCTCATTCACATGCTGATGAACACGACTCAATAAGGTTTTCGATGAATCAGTGCCAAAACGGCGTCACACACCCATTCCCAGCTCCGATTTGACTATCCAAACGCCGCAAGCAACAGTCTCTCGCCTTCCTTGCCGGATTTGCCCGTTAATTAGAGTTCAGCTCCTAACTGGCTAGACTATTTCTTATAAAAAAAAGCCCCGCAGCTAGTCACCTTTCTGTGAGGTTAGACACCGGCTTGTCTATTGAAAACTCAGTTTCATAATACTGATAGTCCCATTAGTCTAGTAATTTTACCACAGAAGGCCAATCATTGGGTTGTTCGGAAAGCAACTGGGATTTGTATCTGGGATATCAAATATTATGTAGCCCAAATTATTGCCAGAAAAAAAACCCAGAAGTTTTATGAGAGCGAAACTATGGAATTACCAGGAAGATGGCTAAAGATAAGTGAACCGATAGGAAAAATATATCACTGGAGAATTAATGAGAGCCTTAAGGCCTAGGGGTGGCCCCACACTGTAAAGCGCTGTCAGCCTACACAGTCTATAAGCCGTATACAGTGAACACAGGACAGCTTTGTCAACCACGCGTGAGCCTTCTACCCCTGGTCAGCACCCAGCACGCTCCAGTCAAACCTATTAAAATGACTGGTCGATATTTGGGAACAATGGACAAATGGCGTTCTAGTGGAGATAGTAGCAGTTCGCCAAGCTTGACAGGAGCTCACAGGGTACTCGACAAGAATTGACAGGACCTGCAAGTTCAGACACGAAAGACAAAAACACGGGTATGTGACAAGAGAATCGTAATTCGCCGCGCTGGTGGGCGTCGCGTGCGACGTCGCGCCCGCAAATGAATGGTTCCAGGTAGTAGATGGCGACAGCAGGCAATTCAGAACCGAAAATAATCACTCAAAAAATCATAATCATGAATGTTCACGAAGACGGGGACTACATGAAGTCCGGTGCTTCAGTCGACAGATTAACACGAGTTAAGAAAACGCCGGAGAGGCAAATTATGATTCTCTTGCCCGCCTCCCAAAAACACTCACTGAAAAAGCTTACAGGTATGGGCCACCCCGAAGTTATTGACGCCAGTGGTCCATCATTATAAGAAAGTAAGTTGCTTCACACGCTTAATACCCAATTACTTTCCGAACAACACGGTATAATGGAGCAGTTCATAAAGAAAGCAGTAATTGAATAACAAAATAAGGGAAAAATAACCGTCGCAGTAGGCTTGTATCCCGAGTACGATGGCGTATATCGTGGAGGATCGGTCGGTATCGGTGGTGGCGGTCCCCTGACATTGGTGTTATTCAGCGTGTATTCGGATCGAGTTAGATTTGACGGTGGTCCGAGTTCAGAACGAGTGGCGACAGCCTTGGAGAACTGAGCATAGCCGGGCGAAACCGCGTCCGTCCCAACAGAACCAACTCGACCTGAATGTAAAAGCACATCACTGCAAACGTGTTATGAGGACAATACAAGCATTAAATTTTCCACAAAAATCGCTTTCAAATTTTATTGAATTTATTCCGTTCTTGCATTACCAAAGCTTCACTGCTACAAAAGCATGTGCTCCATGTTGAGTGATTGAAGAAGCAACTTGGGATTCCGCAGACAAAAGTAAGGCAGCGTTCAGACTTCGCGACGGCAGCGCTTCGGTCGCGCGTTCGACGCGATCGATGCAGTCGAAAGCATGCGCATCGATCGTCAAATCGCGCGACCGGAGCGCTGCCGTCGCGAAGTCTGAACACTATTCAACAAGCGTATGATTCACGAAAACAACGGATACAGATAAGTTGGCAATGTTGGCGATTTTTTCGAAAAATCACGGGGGATAAACGACATTTGGTGAATACAGTTATGTTGTAGTAAATGCCTAATGTCTTTCGCACCCTTGTATTTCATTCTGAAATCCCATCAGGGCGGGTCTTCTTTCGACACGCATGCGTTCACGTTCTTCCCATTCCTTGTATTCGCGGCATTTCTCATCTCGCTCAGCTCGTTCACGTGCTTGTTGGTTCAGCTGAGCTACGTTCACGCTTGCCTGCAAAACAGAGACTATTTACAGAAGTAAAGTGAACACAACAACTGATAACAAAGCTTTCAATAAAAAAATATATCTGATCGCTGTACGACTTTAACAGACGGTCCAGTGAATTACTTGATTGAAGACAGGGTTCCTAATATGCCCTGCGAGGGGCCCTATTCAGTCTTGATGAGAGGGGCATGTTACTCGCCTCTGAGAAAGACTTCATTTGATGTTTTTTCTTCGTGTCTTCCTATTTAGTTATGCACTGTTACCGTTTCCACCCCCCCCCCCCCCCCCTTCTACGCCAGCTTTTCTTTGAGGATGGGTGGAGGGGTGAAGAGGGAGGAAGAACTGAAGAATTTCTTCCCGAAAGTGGTAGGAAGCTGGGAGCACTCAGGAAGATGGCAGGTAGCATGGGAGTACATCGTACCAGAAGGATACCAGAGAAGGAAATTTTGAGGGGGAGAGTCATATTTTGCAACGAAAAGTTTCATCAAGTGGCCTGATCGAGGGTCGTATAGCTACGGCAAGGTGACGCAAGGGCTATATAGGAGCGTGACCCTTCAAAAGTAACCCAGATCAAGGGATCTGTCCTACTACCGGTCTCCGGCTTGTCTCGAGGATCGGATTGTGCCACGGTGAATGGCCCTTATTGCGTCAAGATAATCTAATGGCCAGGTAGCCATAAACTATGGCCCTTTCAGGCGGGTCGCAAGAGGGGGGGGGGGGGAATCGCAACCGCTTTGAGAGGACGTTTTCAGTTGTTGACTTTTCTTCGTTTTTTTTCATTCTGAAGGCGTTATTTCCAAACTTGCGCCACCATTCGACAGGTCGTGGCCTAGGAAGGACTGGTTAGGTAACTCATCAGTACCCTGCCAAGAATAAATGATGAATTCTTTCAAGATGCGCTGTACATCTGAGCACCATCCAGACGCAGGTGCATGGCTGTTGAGACCAACTGATGACGTAGTGTATTCACTATGTACCCTGAAGCCTCCGCGCGCAACACTGATGGCGGTATCTCGCCGCGCGAAGCCGCAATAGCCGTGCGTGCAAACACTGTGGGGGATGCTGTAAGTTGAAACCTTTGTTATTTTCTGGAAAGAACATTCCCGAGGACATCCTCAGCAGATATGATTAGAAAGACAAGTAAAGGTCAGATGATCAAAGATTCGATGAGGGGTGTGGAACAGCTAGTTCGGCAGCCCTCAACAAAACCTCCGATCTAGGCTCTTCGTAGAGAGAATTCAACAATCGACTCTAAAAGTCACACGCCCTATCATTTGCGGGGTGCACGATAAAAAGTCACACGCACTATCATTTGCAGGGTGCACGACTGTACCGTCTTCAAAATTTTCTCCACTTCTTCTTCCGCCCAATACCCGAATGGCGAAAGTTAACAAAGCCTGTCAAACACTTTTTTCCCAAAGCAAATACAAGCCACTGTTCACAGCAAACGAATACACTTCCTCCCTGAGGATTCCCCATTATCTCCCTTACTATTCAGCACCACGGCGATGCAGCCGTCGCGCTGGATTACTCTCGGGACTTCGGAGATCATATTCGATTACAACGGCTAAAAGCGCATGCGGGTTCAACGAAAGCAGATCAGATATATGCAGGTTACCGGTTGACTTTCTGGCAGTTAAAAATCCCATCCTACTTTATATCAATCGCTATGTCGTGCTTGTGTGTGGTCTGGTCTGTTGCTCACGAAATTTCATAGCGCCAGGTCTCAGTAGCAGATGGAGACATTGGTTTTAAGGAACTGACTGTTAGATGCGCTGGTCTCAGTAGACGCGTTAAGTACTATATGGTGGGAAGTGTACTGTGATTGTGATGATCAGTTGTAAGATACCGATAAGTACGCGCGCTCTTACTTTGAAGATCAGAGAGGTAACCATTTCATAACGCGGTGCAGGGTGTGGATCAGCTTTCATCAGCTATGGTCTTGATGTGCCGATTGATATGGTAATTAGGGTATGGAGAGCTCAATTAAGCACAATTTTCTGGTGGGCGGCCGACACACCAGAACTTGTTATAGTCGGCTGATAAGATTCGAGAGGCGGCGTTCGATGGTGAACGGTCATTCGTATTCACAGTAGCCAGGTACACCAGCATCAGCGAGCGATCGATTACGTCTCTGCAAGTGATATAGAGGTGCTCAGGACATTGAACCTGGGTGGTTGAAGCGATAATTACTGTAGATGTCTTGATAACGTGAAGGTTTGCAATCGTCGTCGCTGCTTCAAGGTGGTTCACGCTGGCCAAATCATAGATTTGGTGATGAGGACATTGACGACGGGTGACAGGTAATCTTATCAATCGATAAAAACAGATAAGATACCATCTGCGCTACATTTTTACCAATTCTTACCGCTTTAATGCCGAGTATTAGGGGCTCAGTGGGTGAACCCTTTCCTTTGATGGCAAAACAGAAGATCATAGGGTGCTGAGATGTTGTTTTTTCCTTTTAGATGCATTGGCAGTCGGTTATCGAGCGGGGGGGGGGGGGGGGGGGTGGGGAGGTATATAGTGCGGCTTGAAACCGAGGAAAATGAGAAATTCACCAATCAAAAAAATTTTCGCGAAGCTGCCTGCTATGAGATGTGTGTTATGTGTGTTAGGAGGTGGCGGTCGTAATTGAAACAAAATAAGGACTGGGAGTGGGTCGTCCCATCGGTGGGTCATTCGAGCTCTCATGGGCTTCGTGCCGTGCGAGCACACAACTTTATTATGTACAAGCATAATGTGGAGTTCTCCTTTTCAGTGCCACCCATTACTCTGCAGTTATGCCTCTTCCGGTTATTAAGAGCTCATCCGGACTAATTCACCTTTACCCATTCTGTTGTCGCAACTGCGGTCCTCTATAATATGGTGCAGCTTTCTCACCGTTGAAAGTCTGTAGTAAGCAAGGGGGACCAGTTGTTGGTAGATAGTGACTGATGTTGAGCTATTTTCAACTCATTTTCCTGCATTCAATAGAAAAATTGCTGCCATCATTTTGCACATTTAGCGCATCCTACCCCGCCCAAGGGAAGAGTGCCTGGCGAAAGCCAGTTGGCCCGCGAAGCCGGACGTCGAAAACCAGGAGAGAGCACCGGCGCAGCGGGTGATCCGACGAGGTTTATTGTTTAATGGTAATTGACATCTCAATTCCAATCTTTTAAGTTCGGATAACTTATGTGTAACATCTCGGATTGAGATGGGGCCGTGGCAATGGTGTAAGTACCTAAGGACAGGTCGTAAAAGAGATGTCTGGTGATATCCCTAGGTGTATCCTCAGGTACTTCTGGTTCTTTCACGAGACCCCAGGCCTTTGGCCACACCCCCATCTACTGTCGATCCGTTGGCTGATCGAGCTGATCAGTCAGTCTGGAGTTTTGCCGAGCTCACGGAAGGTGAGCAGATCGGTCTCTCCCGGAATCGGGAGGGGAGTTTCCCAACGTCGTCGCGGACGACTTGGTGATGGACTCTACGTGGTAGAGGGCTCCCCCTGGCTCAAGGGAAGTGTCGCGACGATGCGAGCTTCAATCTCCTCACTCGGTGAAGAGCGGATCTTTCCCTGTGTGGAAAGTGGATGTGCAGTAGTGCGTACGATACGGCTACAGATGCACGTTGGCCTAGGCGTGGTTTAGCGCAATGGTCGTTCCCTTTTGGTTTGACAAAAGGTAGAGGATGGTTGGACGTCTTCGGTGTAAAGAGTTGTCCAACATCCTAGATGGCAGGAGAATTGTGGATAATACCCTTTCCCTTTGCTTGGTTGAGTGTCAGGATCTAGTAGCGTAGACTCTGGCTCTGGTTGGCATCGCCATCCAGGAATTTGTACATACTTATGTAATTGGAACTATCCAGTGACAGTTATATAGCACCCACGGCTGTTCACGAAACCGCGGAATACGTGGGACTGTTCGGGACTTGGGATTTCAAGCCCAACGTTCAACCAGCACCAGCTGGACGGACACCCCCCCCCGCGATTCCAACACATTCATTCGAATAGTTTCATATTTGCAAGATTCAGATATACAGTGTGTATGCCAGTTGTTGATAACGACGCTTCCCTCAGTTAACAGCACTGAGTGGTCACAGTGGCACACACAACTGTTGTTTTAGCGATACTCGCAGGCATTACGACAAGATAACAAAACTCCCACTCACACTACATACATTCAGAATAACTCGAAAAACCATTCCATTCCAACATGGTTTTTCATAAATAAAAAGATCTTTCGGCGCAGTTCGGCCTGGTGGAAGCATTTTGTTAATTCCCAATGACCACAACGCATGCCTTCTGTGGGGACCTGTGAACTCCTGTAAAGCTATGCCAGAGCAGGAGCTTCACTTATTTTTGACAAGAGTCTACATGTCTCACCAAGGTGTTACATGTAATACAAACAAGAACTAGCAAAAGGAACTGACAAAAGTGCAAAATGCCCTTCTTAGCCGAAAAGCTCCTGTTTTCTCTACTTGAAGTCAAATAGTAATGCATGAGAAAGGAAACCACTGTACTACAGCAAACGCTTGCTTTAACCATTAAACGTCGGCTTATTCCTATTCCAAAGAGTAGCAACACTAAATCACGATCTCACCTCCTAAAATCAAGACGAGAAGACAGAAGGAACGCATGCATGATGATACGATTGAGTTAAGGTTGAGTGTTTATAGACAGCACTCATAATAGCCGCCTTCTACTAGTAGATGCGTCGCACAATGCATTCCTGTCGCTGCGACTGATTCAAAACAAAACGCTTGTTGACGGCTTTTGTTATATCCTGCTAATCTCGCTGCTTGGGCGGAGGTGGTACAGTGGCAGGTGGCCCGCTTTCTAAGCACACAGTCAAGGTTCAGAGGCAGTATCGGCTAACCTTGGCCAACCAAGCCGCGCCTTCTAACCTTCGGGACCCGGTAAAGTCATACCTGGAGAGACAAAAACACTGACTAGTACATCGATTGGCCTCCCCTAGTATAGGGAGCATTACATTCAAAAAA